CTCTGTGGCCCAGGAAGACCTGGAACTCACAGCAGCCCGGACTCAACCTCCCATGTGCCAGAATTGTACAAGTATGAACCACTGTGCCTGGCTACTACTAGCTCTGTTTCAAGGCTAGTTCCTGTCATCTAGGGCAGTACAGGTACAAGGGTTCAAAGACTAGTGACATGACCTCGCTCCAGCAGCACTCACTTCTTAGAGAAGAACAGGGTAACTGTGTAAACATGCAGTGTCTTCAGTTTCTGCTTGCAGTGTGTGCAGTGAAGCTGGCTCAGAAAGGAAATAGTCTCTCGGTGTCTGAGCTCTGCCTTAAAATAGCCTTCATGTTTGCCTATCATGTGCTAGAAACTTTGCTTTCTGATTTAATTACAGTTAAATACTTCAGGGGGTGATATATATATATATATATATATATATAGTTGCCTTTCCTAGCTTCTTTCTTTCTGTCTGTTTCTCTATCTAATATCTATCTATCTAATATCTATTTATCTTTTTTTGGGGATGTGTGTGCACCTGGTAGAGCCCAGAGGTTGACAGCAGGTGTCTTCCTACATAGCTTTCCACCTTATTTTTTGAGACAGGATCTCTCACTGAACCTGGAGCTTATCCGTTCATCTAGGCTGACTGGCCAGTGAGCTCTGGGATCCTCCTTTGTCTGTTCTCCGCCCCATTCCAAGAGCTTGGGTACAGACACTCCCCCGAAGCTGACTTTGTACATGAATGCTCGGCATGAGAATCAGTTCCTTGTGCTTGCACAACACAAACTCTCCTCAGCCTCCATTGTTTTGTTTTGCTTTGTTTAGGTTTGGTTTGAGATAGGATTTCATGTAGCTGATGATAATCTTGAATTCTGCCTCTGTCATCCTATTACTGGGCATTTAGGTACCATGACTCCACATTCAACGTTTAATTGATGTTTCTTAACACTTCAAAAATCTTCCTGGTTAAATTAGATCACAAGTTTTGAAATTCTATGCAGGGGTGTGTGTGTGTGTGTGTGTGTGTGTGTGTGTGTGTGTGT